TTTGGGCATAGTTAGAGAAACAATAGTTTCTGTTGTTGGTGTTTTCCTGTTGGCAGTGTAATTCTGGTGTTCTGTCTGGGCTTTATTAGTGCAAAAAAAACATTTATTCTGGTTTTTGTGCTATCACTGTTGAGCTAGGTAGTTTTGGACCTAGCTAACTGAAGGTGCATCAGCTACTGCAGAGTCCAGGAGGTTAGGGTGGTTCATATGGAATAAGTAGATGGTACCAGGAGAAAAGTGGGGTAACACTCAATATTAAGGTACACAAATTAACCATCAACTAGTTGTTAATTAACATGCACATTAGCAGTATATTGGCTCTTTATTAGTCATTATAAAACACTTATTAATGCCTTATTCTACATGACCATATTCTACAAGTAATAAGCCATTAGTTGAGAGTTTTTCCTCAATAACCCTCTAATTAGTGCTTATTTGTTGCAAGTAAAGAAGTTGTTGTACATGAGTTTTGGTCTTAATATGCTCTGCTCAATATGGGCCTAATAAGTCCCACAAGAATAGTAATTCTCTCATAATAACACTTAACAAATACGATCTATTCTTATGTAACAATACATGAAACTATAACTATAAGTGTTGTGTCTAAATTAGGTATTTATATCTAAGAACATGTTCCCTATTCTAAAGTGAAGTCTTGTTCATAACCAATAAGCTAGTAGTTTGACTCTAATTGACCTGAACAGGTTCCCTATTCTAAAGTTGTCTCCTCTTCACACTTTGTAAATACATTATAGCACACAACTACTGAAATTAACCTCAACAGTACATGAACAAAGTAGGCACACGTTGAAATATCTGTGTTATTAATGAACCACTGAAGAGAGGTTCAGACACATGCATGTACCAAAACCTGTAAAGTTTCTCGAAGGCTGAGAACACATAATGCAGCCTGTACGTTTTAATAAAAACAGATTTTTAACAGATTGTATGTATTTTTGATCATACTGTGTGACCTGCTTGTATACTTACACAATAGGTGTACTGTTCTCTCTATGTGTTGTACTGTCTCAGTGTGAACATAAATTAAACAGCCAGCCAAACTCTTTTGAGAGCCGGGGAATGAGCAGCCATGCTCCTTTATTGACTTATTTGCAGTCCACTGACATTCAAACGGAGTGAAACTATAAAAAAAGAAGTTACAAGGCACTTAACATACACAGAACTTGTTAAGCCCCAAGCCTGTTTTTCAGGTCTCAGGCTCGAAAATGACATTCCCAGAACAAATGACCATATCTTCCCTTCCAAAAGGGTTAAATTAATAATCTCTTTTCTCAAAGCAAGGTTACACCTGTGAGTTGGATGTAGAAGTGTCAGAATCAATATAGATGTTTTTATTTTAAAGTAAATTCAGATTGAACACAGTAAAAAAATGTAAATGATTGTGTCCGTCCAAAAAAAAAAAATTACTTATGGTGAAAACCACCCTTGAATTATGGGATGGTAGACTAAAAGCTTTAGGAATCCAAACTACAACATATAATAAGTACCCTGTATCAAGATTGATGCAAAACAAGGGACATTTGACCTTTTTTAGAGAGATTTAGCACAAAAAAAACACTTCTGGGGTCATTTGGGTGGATTTTCCCAACCTGGTCTCACCAGAATGCGTGACTCCACCACGACTCCTTAACACCACATTGCGTGGTGGAGTCACTAACTTTATTACATTTACGTGTCGGCACCACGCAAACAACCCCAATGTAAAGTGAATTACCTTTGTCGTGGTGCACACACGCATTTCTACAACCTCCTGCAGTGAGCTTTGTATTCTATAAAACGTTTTTAAAATCTACTTTATAGCTTGTAGTAACTCACGGGAGGCTTCTTTTATTTTATTTGTATTCATAATAATTTTTGTTTTTTGTCAGAATGTATTATGGTGCATTAGTTACCAATTTCTGTTCTCAAAAAACAGTGCATTGTGTGTAATACAACTGTGATTTAAATGACTTAGTTTTTAAGGAAGGCCAGAGCTTCAGCTGTGTCAAATAGATTGTTCCCTTTAGTTTACGTTTTTTAAAAGACAATTATATTCCTATTTGATCAATAAAGGGGTATTGTAGGCCAATATTAGCCATTTAAAAAATGGGTGACTGCACTACGACTCCTTAACACCACATTGCGTGGTGGAGTCACGAACTTTGCTACATTTACGTGTCTGCACCACGCAAACAACGCCAATGTAAAGTGAATGAGGCTCCTTCGCCGTGGTGCACACACGCATTTCTACAACGTCCTGCAGTGAGCTAAAACGTTTTTTAAATCTACTTTATAGCTTGTAGTAACTCACGGGAGGCTTCTTTTATTTTATTTGTATTTTTCGTCAGAATGTATTATGGTGCATTATTTATCCATTTCTGTTCTCAAAAAACAGTGGGCAATGTGAGCGTCCATTCTCATTGGATAACGGAGAATTGTACATCCGGAAGTAAGTATTCCCCTTACTGTCGATTGATTTTATAGTGATATCTGCACTACTCATCGACTAAAAAACACCAGATTATCCTTGATAATTACACAACATTGATTGGTTTAAATTGTGTGCAATGCTTTTGTATTTTTCCCCTTGGATTCGGAGAAACAAATATTTTTTCGGAGTAAAGGATGGCAGAAGACACTACACTACCCAGAATCCCCAGCTATCGTTTAGGACTACACCATTAGCATAAAAGAAAAGAAAAAGTAAAGAAAAACGAAGAAAAATAAAAATGAAAAGGAGAAGAAAAATGAAAAGCAAACGCAGAATGCGAATGAAAAGAAAAGGACGGAAAACCAAAAAGACAAAACGAAGGAAGGTGAAAAGAAAAAGGAACAAAGTGAAGAAATGTAATGGTGTTGTTGAGTCATTACCGGATCATAATAATCTTATAGATCATCTACCGCTAACCGACTGCTGCGAATGTGTTGAACAAATACCAAAAGCAATGGCAGAGCTTTGCTTCAATATAATGAGAGAAAAAGCACGATACTGTGGAATTGCCCAAATTGGCGACAGTGCCAGAACATGCATTAAAAGACTGTTGGAGGATCTCTATTCTAGTATCGGTTGTCATTACATCGAAGGATATGCCAAAACGTGTGACGACATAGACAAAGCTTTTGAAGACAATTATATGGTACCTGTCCTTACAGCTAAACAAATCCTACGCCAGGTATTCAACAGACCACAAGAAGCACAAGAAGCCCCAGAAAGGATTACATTCAGAGCTAATAACAGTGAAACCGAAGAAGAAGCAAAGCAGATTATAATCGTTGCGGGTGAAAGGATAGAGAATTTCCATGTGATGTTATGCATTTATCTGATATAAAAAATGCATTCGTATACTTCCAAGAAAACCCTAAACATCTTCTTGGGCAATGTGAATTGAACGATAAACCGATCACTGTCAATGAAACGCGGAGAGAAGCAGCAGTGCAAATCGTTAAGTCTATTACCTTGTATGCACTACGACATTAACTTGGTAAAATGTAATGTGTTTTTTATGAAAATATGTTGAATGTTGTGTTTTCAATTAAACAACCATTACAAAATGAAAATGTGTTTTATTTTTTGCTTTCATATATAGTAATAGTATTGTAAACGAAACATTTAAAGTGTCAAAAAACAGAGCATACAATGAGAGCACATGATACACTTTAAATGTTTCGTTTACAATACTATTACTATATATGAAAGCAAAAAATAAAACACATTTTCATTTTGTAATGGTTGTTTAATTGAAAACACAACATTCAACACATTTTCATAAAAAACACATTACATTTTACCAAGTTAATGTCGTAGCACTTTGTTTTAGTAGATTTAATTAGGATTCTGACTCTTAATGGCAGTTTGTGATGTTGAGGCTATTTCAGTGAAACAAGGCTGTTTTGAACATTTTGACAGATTTATGCTTAAATTCTCTGAGAAAAGTTACTGAAAGATACACTTTTGTGTATAAAAGTAGATAATGAAGTACTTTGTATTAGTAGATTTCGTTAAGATTCTGACTCTTAATGGTCCTCTCTAAATTTGATTCAGGGTTTGTTTTAAATGATTTGTGCTTTGTGTGTACAGACACACAGAAAAACACTGAAAAACACAAAAAGAAGGACTGTAATACACATGTATCAGACACGCTCCCTTTGCTATAATGAAGACAACAGTTTTTAAATGTAAAAAAACCCTTTTTTTATTTTTTCACACACAAAATCAAATAGTTATACTGATTGCAACATCCGCAGGACCGTCTCCAGCTTAGAATTCCCCATATTACTGGAGATATCGTGATGGAGTTTTTTCACTTCAGTCAGAATATTCATGTGTATGCTGCTTTCTGCAGAGATGCATTACATCTACAAACAGAGCATACACTGAGAGCACATGATACACTTTTGATGTGTGTTTCATTTCTGAGATAATGTTACAGAATGTTTCGGAAAATGAAGATTCCAGGACCACTTTAAATGTTTCGTTTACAATCGTTTCCCAATGACCCGGAATAGTACTGCCAGAACGAACGATATCCAGAATGTCTTCCAGTTTACAAACTTCAGCCATTCTGTTTACACAGGGGTCACTACTCGTTCTGTTTTCAATCGTCCTCATCACCACACTTATTAAAAGGGTATTGACTACATTCTGATCAATATATACAGAGCGTTTTGCATAGTAGTTTCCCATTTTTATTTTACTTTAAAGAAAAAAGTCACTGTATCGAACAAGTCCCTGGCTTCAGTCAACTGCTGGTTGTTAGTCTTCTTCTTCTTCTTCTCCATCCAACTCTGCATGGATCTTTTCAAGTCTCTCCTTGAGGCGTCTGCAATTTTTGAGATTGTGAAGAAAAGCCTCCGAAGCGCCTTGGATCCTCCAATCATCCGTGAAAATGTCTTTATCAATAAGAGTCTGGTCGATCTCAGTAATGAAGTCGGTGAGCCAGAGTCTTTTCATTAACGTGTGCAAACTTCCCTGCTTTGTGACGCCCCCCAGACAGTCCCGAGATAGTTACCGGACGCACCCCTCACTGTAACGTCATGGCTGTGCGCGACCAGTTATAAACAGACTTTCAGCAAGTGAACGGGTCGTTGTGTGTTCCACGTTGTGCGTTTATGAAACTGTGAGTATTGTTACTGTGGCATAGGCACATGTTTGTATCAATGTTTGCATCTAAATAACAGTTTACAGACAATAATCGGCGTAGTGTGTATATATACTGTGTACAGTACTTGTTTGCCATAAGTGTGACTGGCTGCCTGTTAACTGTTCAGTAGTTTAACTTTCTGTCCGCTGTGACCGTCGATATAATTACTTTTGGTATGTACAATCGACGTATATTTCCAGTCTTGTGGTGAGCTGTGTATAACTATGCCTCTGTCAGCCGCCATTACCGCATGTAAAACGTTATCCCCCTGTAAGCCGCCATTATCACGTGTTAAAACATGTGCGCTTGTTGCGGTCAAGTGAGCCCTCTTGCGGGCATTTCTGTTATTGTTTATCATGAAGCTGACAGTTCCAGCATTTATGTATATGTATTGTTCCTAGCAGGAAATCGTAATGTAACTATTAGGATTCATATTGTCATTCACTAATTTGATCTACTCTGTTTATTTATATTTCTTAGATAACCACAACATAACAAACGAACATCCTGTAACACCATAACTCCTGTGAACAATTAAAGTTTGGATATCTACACCCCCTGGATTGCTGCAATCTTTCTGACAGAAGATTTAGGCCAGACTTGTATACACCAGCATCAATTATTCATAATTTCACAAGTGGTCCTTCGTGCCGGAGGTATACAAGCTGCGCTATGGCCACATCCAGGGAGCTGTATGATGGGCAGCCACCGCTCAGTCCCGGTCCCAGCAGAGTGCGGCGCATTCCCGGACATCTGGAGGACTTCGAGCTCAGCTACCCACATCAACCTCTTTATCCCCCCCAGATGAGGCCAGTCTCATCACCGAGGCCAGAATATGACGAGTCGCCCAGCCATGGAGGACATGTCAGCTACCCTGTAGCAGCACATCACCCTGTTGGCACTCCAGATCACAACTGGCAACGATTAGAGGCACGCTGGCAGACGATTAGCAGGCAGATGCAAGAGCTAGAAACTGACATGGACAAGGTAAAGATCACCGCACATCCAAAAAGTGCCCTGGGTTACCCTTCATACCACTCACAACAGTTTACAGCATACCAGAGTCGCTACAGCAGCCTCCCTCAACTGGAGCTGTGTTCTCCCACGAACCAACGTATGGAAGAAACGGGTTTACTCTCATATCCTCAAGCTCATCCTGCTCATCCCCAAACGTCTCCTTCAACGTCTCCACCTCAATCACAGGCTAATAGTCCTGCACCGCAGACACAGCAGACTTCCCCCGCGGCGCCGGTTACTTCTGCTGAACAGATGCAGCCTGCACCTCCTATGGCTCCAAGAGCTTCTGCAACAGACACGCATTCTGCACCCACTGCTTCGCTGATGCAGCCTGCGTCACCTGTCACTTCTCCTGCTGTGGTACAGCCTGAACCTCCTGCCTGGCTAATACATCCAGGTGTTATTCCTGCTCCTGTTGCATACCCGCAGTCTGCGCCAGCTCCACCGGAACAGCCATATAATCCACATCACCGGTACTGGCAGACGGCTCCACAGCCATATCAGCCTATGCAGTATGCTGCACCACCTCGAGTACATCACTCCTACATGATGCAGCCTCCTGCACCGGCCTGGCCTACAGCTAATTCTAACATACCCAGTATGATGGAGATGGCGATTGCATCATCATATGGCATCCCAAAGCCAAGATTAACCATCTTCAGCTCAGGAAAAGAAACTGACTTTCTTATGCTCAAAAAGGGATTGGACAGCGTGCTTGGCCCTCACCAACACCTGTCCGAGGATTATAAATACCAAATACTCCTCGATCACCTCAACTTTCCATCTGCACTCCAGGTAGCTAAGAGGTACATCAACAGCCCAACTCCATACACAAGTGCCATGCAAACCCTGACCCAACAATATGGCCAGCCAAGACAACTGGTGCAGGGAGAGCTTAATGACCGATGTATTTAGTTATACACACATTCCTTCACATTTACATTTTAATGTGCATTAAAGTATTTCGTGAGGCCTTCTAAAATGTTTTTAAATATAACTACGGTTGTAGTTGAATAGTTTGTAAATTAACATGAACCGAAGCTGTTGCTTGGCAACTCAATCGCACAACGTCACCACCGTTAATTCCACATCCACACGCATGGATTAACATCGATTTAATACATTAATGTAGCCTTTGTTTATGCTAAAAGAGGTGTCGACCAGCTGGGGCAACAAGAAAATCGCGGTAATCGAGTGTGACTATTAAAAAATAAATCATTACGTCGGGGTAGCATTTGCTTGGTATTTCCGGTTATTTCTCCACTGGTTAACATGGGTTAACAATACCTTGTAGCTGTCACGTTTGAAGGGGACGAAACCGTGACATCTTCACGTCTCCCAGCATGGTAAATCGTCACATGTTCACGTCTTGCCGTGATACTGGGTTGGTCAGACTACATGTGTTCTTATAGTGTCTAATCCTAGTCCTTTAACCTGTTCTACAACGCATTACTGCACAGAAACTCACTCATAACACCCTTATTACTTATCGTAGCTGCACGTCCAACCCTTCGATTCACATCGTTAGAAGACACAGAATCGATCGGTACCTACATTATCACTCCATGATAAGAACTCGCGAATATATTAACAAGAACAGACATCAAAACACATTGTGCTAGGTAGCTAAAATGGCAAAATGGCTCACCTTTGTCATTGTCTGGTCAAAAGTGGTCTTCAATTGAAACGATAAAAACGCTGGTGAAGGTTAATCCATAGGTTAATCCAATGTGTCTGTGTCCCTTTGAAATTATTTCTGATAATCCATAAGCAATAAACCTGCTTTTCCGTTTCCATATGTCAGAGCGAGAGATAGGTTCGCTCTCATGCAAAACTGTGCGCATAGCTCTCTTTTCTCAATGGTAAGGTGTGTGTGTATGTGGAAATACCCTTTCGATTGTATTGGCTCTAACGGTCAAAAAGAGATGTCAATCACCAAAATCGACCAATGGGTTCCAGAGAAACGGTAAAAACGGCCATTTCCACCCAAATCACTTCAGAGGTGGAGTTTTCTTTGCTAAACCAAAAAGGTCAAATGTCACTTGTTTTGCATCAATCTTGATACAGGGTAGGCTACTTATTATATGTTGTAATTTGGATTCCTAAAGCTTTTAGTCTACCTTACCATCATCAAGGGTAAAAGAAGAAGTCAAAAATAATTTGTCATTTTCGAGCCTGAGACCTGAAAAACAGGTTTAGTGCTTAACAGGTTAAGCTCAAAATGTTTGCCAATTGTTTATTATTAGTTTAGATAGAACGCTCGTCAATCCCCAACTGTGTTACAATTAAGATTGGTCACTTTGTGTTAATATTACGGCTGTCAAAATAACGCGTTAATAACGCGTTAACGAAAAGAAAAAAAAATGCCACTAACTATTTTAACGCGATTAACGCATATGCATTTTTTGTCCTCGGCCGCCCAGTAGTTTCAGAGCGCATCGAGTTTAAAATACCATCTATACAATCCAAGCACACTACTGATGCCGACAGCTTGCGGCAGACCACACTTGAAAGTGCGCGGGGGAGACGCCTGGACACGTCTACGAGCAGCACACTTTCAACAAAGATCGCTAAATGGGTGGCTACAGCTTTATAGGCCAATTAACATTGTGGAGGACGAGGGGCTGCGTGATATGATTCGGGTCGCATCCAACGACTGCACTTGTGAATTCCAGAGCCACCACTGTGTCGAAAATACACAACTTGTATGAAGTCCAAAAAGCTAAAGTAGAGGAGGATTTAAGAAAGACTTCCACGGTTGCGCTCACCGGAGACTATTGGACTTCACTCTGACAGTTACCTCGGGGTCACAGCTCATTATTTTGACCCACAGTGGGAACTTCAGTCTCATGCTTTGACAGTTATGAAAACAGAGGAGCGGCATTTCGCCGACAACTGCGCCGACACACACACACACACTTTGTATTGTATTATTGTATTGAATGAGAGAGGTTCCAGGTGGAATTGAGGCGAATATTTGTAATGTTCAGAGGTTGTTGTGTTTAATATTCATGAGAATATTTGTCATTGTTCAAATGATAATAAACAAACATTTGCATAAAGCATATTTGTCCACTCATATGCAGTGGTGTAGTGGGCGTTGGACGCGGGGGTACGCGAACCACTGTGTTAGTGTATGTGTGGCGCGAGCTAGTGAGAAAGCGCGCGCACCGGTTACGTGTATTGTTGTTAGCATCTGGTGCTAGCTAGCTGCGCTAACGGATATAAGGAGCTGTTTCAACAACAAGGTGGGGGGAGAGTCCTCTCCTGTCAGACTGAGAGGCTGATAACTACAGCTCAGGTGAGGTAAATTACTCTCTGAGTGTTTAGATAGTTAACTTAGTCTAAGTTATATCAGTGGGTCTCAAACGGTTCGGTCACCATTTATGTAAATACATATTTCCATTTGAGGGGGGAGTGATTAGTAAAATATGCATGAATAATAATAAAAAAATGTTAACTAGGTGAAAAAAGGCAAGATAAACTTGTTGAGAGCTAAAACTAGTCTTTGCTGCTGCCTCAAAGAGGAGCAGGGGGAGAGGGGGGAGACAGGAGAGGCTGATTCAGGAGCCCAGACACACTCACAACTAAATGAACCAAAAACAAATAAATAAACAAGTTTCAATGTTTTTTCATATTGGATATGGTATGTTATTGGTTATGGCCATGTTCTTATGATTTTATGATTATTTAAATGTATACAGTTCTGTTTCATATGGGTGTAGTCTCTTTATTTCCTCCTCAAAGTGCACCAGATTGATGCATGTAAGTCCAACATTTAACAACAAATGGTACCGGGGAGCATGCCCCCGGAACCCCCTAGAGGATTTGAGGTCCACCCCCACTTAAAATATGTTCACATGGACAGGTTCCTAAATAGATTTGCAATTTTTTTTAAATAGTAACCCATCTCCATTATGTTTATTTTTGGGTAGTAGATTTAAACTAGAGGGCTATCACTACGGGCAGCAACGCTGTAAATATTGACAAATAAATCCAGCAAAATGGCACAAAAAACTGGTAGTGGCCTGGCTGGGTGTATAATTCCCGGCCTGACTTATTGTCCTAGTCCGGCCCTGATTGACGCATGACAACAAATATGCCCAATATGACGCGCCGCAGCGATAGACTAGAGCAGAAAAGACATCACATAACGTTAGCATTTCCAAAATGTTAGCGTGGCTTAATAATAGTGCGAAAAGATAGCGGTTGTTGCCGGACAAGGATTCCCTCTCTCCTTTCCTGCTGAAAGATGGTGAGTGTACTCAGGGACGAGGAGTCATTTAACCAGCCGCCAGTAGGAGTCAGGCTTTACTTTCTTTTATATCCATAAAGAAAAAGTAAATCTGTTTACAGTTGTTTCATATGGATGTTGAGAGGTATCCATATATCTCTTCATTTTGCTCTCAAAGTGCACCAGATTGATGCCACTTATACAAATAACACTTTACCACTGCACCCCCTCTAATCTCAGATGCACCCTGAGTCATTTACTTTAAGTACAGTGAGCCTTTCTAAAATATACAGTAAAGAGACAAACCCACCAGCATTATAGGATATACTTTGACTTTGAGCCAAATACTTGTTTTTGGGCTGTATAAATAAATTGACTTGAAACAGTTGCTGATTTAGAGTACTGGTAACTTTTTTATTCCAATTCAAGCACTGGATTTGTCCAGAGCATCTCGACAGAAAATCGCCTAATCTGTCGCCTACTCATTGTGTCAATGAGTCAAATGTGAGCAAGGCACAAATATAACTGCATGAGAGACAGTAATGGAGGGGCATTTACTGCGAGACACTGAGAGGTTTTTCTTTCTCAAGGGGCACAGAGCTCTCATCTGTGAGAAGATATGATACATTGTATCATACAGCGCAAGAAAGTGAGAGGTTCCCCTAACTTGTGTGTGTGTGTGTGTGTGTGTGTGTGTGTGTGTGTGTGTGTGTGTGTGTGTGTGTGTGTGTGTGTGTGTGTGTGTGTGTGTGTGTGTGTGTGTGTGTGTGTGTGAACCCCAGGAGAAATACCAAAGGCTCATGCTATTTAAAGATATTAGAAGAGAAAGATTAACTTAATATTATAATCAGACCCAATATAGAGACTTAAAGACCCACTTTGCCAATTGAGACAGGTAGCATGATGGAGATTATATTTCAGAAGGTAGAGATTATGTTAGTTTACAAGAAATGAGAGATGAAATGCTAGGATTAAGGCCAAAATAAACAACCGTCAAAACAGCGTCCTGCATTATTTTCTATGTACAACCAGCACAATGATAAGTGTTGTCTAGTTGCACGCTGAGGTTGTGAAAATAAAATACCCTCTGTGACATTTTAACATTATATTTCATTTAGCTGATGCATTTCTAAGATTTTATTCACAGCCTAAGTACTCGTAAATTCTCATGAGTTCATTCATTTCACGAAACCAGTGGAACGAGCTCTCATAGGAGCGCAGAAACTCTACACATGTTTTGTGTTTTGCCTGTACCTTGGCCATTAAACATATTTTGAAGTGAATATACCTGTACTTTTCTTGTCTCTCTGAGTTTGTATATTTATGGTTTATTGCACTTTTTGTGAGTTGCTTTGGATTAAAGTTTCAAATGTAATGCAATGCAACTTCCCTGAAAAGAGACGTTTATTCCACACTAAATTAGACTCAAATACAACTGAAAGCACAATACTATGGACAGCCATTTGGATTTGAAGCTGATTAAAGAGGTGAGACACAAATCCAAGTGGACTGGAGTTGCTCTCAGTCTCATGATATCAGGAGCAGCTCCTTGCACTTGTATAAACAGCTCAGAACTCCAGACAGTAAACTAGAAAATGCATTTCCTGCTGAAAATGCGTGTGAGTGCTGTAAGCCGTGTAAGTGTGTTGCTGAACTTAGAAGAAAAATGCAGAAAAGTTAAATTAATTAAAATTAAAATGGTTAAAGCTCAAATGCATTGCATTGACTTTGTTGGAAAACTTGAAAATGAAATGTGAAACTGCATTCGCGCTAATTATAGAAAAAAGT